TCCCACCCCGCCCATTGCCTCCCCCCCCTGCCTCGAGGCGGGCTCGTTTCGACGCGAGGTCGGCCGGCACGCCCGCGGCGTCGGGATTTCGAGCGTGGAGGATCCCCGGCGACGGTCGCCGTCCGCCTCGCGACGAACGTTACCCGCTCGCGAGCTTCACCCGTTGCGTGGGGTGGGGGAGCGGTTTACGCTTTCCCACGTCCTCGATCGCGTCTTTTACCTCCACGTGCTCGACGCGACGACCTTCCTCGCGGTGATCTACGCCCTCCCAAGATGGCTGCGGGAGGAGCGGATTTCGATGGTGTTGATCGACTCCATCGCGGCCCCATTTCGCGGGGCGGAGTTCGCCTCCTTCGACGACGAAGCCGACGGCGAAGACGACGACGAAAAGACGGGGGAAGGGGAAGGGGAAGGGGAAGGAGGGCTTCTGAATCGAGATGGGGTGCGCGCGAAGGGGATCGGCCTTCCACCTTGGCAGCGCGCGCGTTTGCTTTTTACCTGTGGGGAGCGGCTGCGAGCCTACGCCGCGCGTTACCACCTCGCGGTGGTCGTGAGCAACCACCTGACAAGCCGCACGCTCCGAACGCGATCGACCCTCCCCGAGGCGGAAGAAAAAGAAAAGGAAAAGGGGGAAAAAGATGGCGGATGGGGAGGTCGCCGTGGGGGGGATTCGAGGAGCGTGTTGATTCCCTCTCTAGGAGATGCCTGGGGATGCCAACCCACGACGCGGCTGCTGCTCAGTTATCATCACTACCACCTCCCGTCGAACTCGGTGCCCGGGCGGTTTCGTCTTTGCTCAGAGGGGATCGTCCTGGAGGATTCCTCGCGTAGCGGCGTGGCGGCGGGGAAGGAGGAAGGGGAGGGGGAGGGGGAGGGCGCGCCGGCGGCGGCGATTCAGCACCGCGTGGCGCGTTTGTTGAAGTCCCCTACCCAACCCCGCGGTGAGGCGTGTTTTGTGATCTCACGAAAAGGCATCCGGGATTGGAATCCAACCTGATCGGACTGTATTCGAGCAAATGCAGCGGGATGGCTTGTGAAGAGGGGGGAGGGGGGCGAGATATTGGACGATTTTCACGCGCGCATATCTCGCTCCTCCTTTCGTTCCTTCTCTCTTGTAAGGGGAAGGTTTAGATGCAGCAAAGTGGGGTTAGCTTTCAAAGCAAAAATTAGCATCGCCATCCTCTGAATTAAATCGATGATTTTTTTTGCTGTTGTTGACTCCTCTTTCATGGGTGACGTATTCAAGATGCCACAAAACAAGATGATGTCGTTTTGATGTATTTGCCATTTCTGCTGTTTGGTTAGGTCTGAGTCCAATAACTCGAGGCCAGGACCGATTTTTTTTCGTTTTTTCCTCACGTTTCGTTTCGCACGTCTTACCCTTGCAAGGAGGTTGTCTTTGCCTAAGGGTGATGCAGAAAGGCTAATATTGAAGTCTTGCTGAATCAATGGTGGGTCCGCATTTCTATCTCCCATGCGTGTGATGGAGTAGTGAGTGTGTGGGAGGACTCTCTCCTGCTCCCTTTCTCCCATCAATGAGTGCTTGTGCTTAATTATTATTATTTTTTTCCTCCTTTTGCTTTGGTTTCAAATTGGTCGTGTATCTTTTTCTTCAAGGTATATCGAATTCTATAGATTTACCACCCTTGAGCTTGTATTGCCAGGTTTTAGATTCCCCGTCATTCGTCCGTCGCACGAGCTGATCATCACCATCCCTTCCCCCCCGCCCCCCCTCCACCTCCTTCTCCTTTTACACGTGAAGATAATATCCATCGTGGATATTCTTTAAACCTTTTCCCTTTAGCATCCATCCTTGGCGCGATCGATGTCCGAGGTCTTCCCTTACACCCACCCAACCGGGTATTTATTTTCCATCAACGAACGCGTCGCGTTGGCGACCTCGTTGCCGTTGTTGATGACGCACACCAAACGCCGTCGCGTTCAGGTCTGGGGGAAGGTTTTCGGCCATAAAGCGAATTACATCCTCGCTCAGGCCTTCGACGACGACCTCGTCGCGGAGCCGGAGCTTTTTTACAGCATCGACGAAGGCCTCACCTTCACCCTGATCGGCACGACCTCGTCGTTGTTAAGCAGCGTCTCGCATGTGGGGAGCACCCCGATGGAGCAGGAGGCTTTTAAACACCGCCTGCTGGGGGAGATCCGCGGGACCTTCATGGGGGATCCCGCGTATGAATATCGCGTCACTTCGCTTCAGACGAGCCCGTCGTCCGGGGAAGGGGGGGTTTCGCGGAGTTACAAAGAATCCCTCCGCGTCGCGCTCTTCGTGGAGGAGCATGATTACCATTGCCGGGTCGCCCCGCGCGGGTCGTTCTTCCACAGCGAACGGCAAGATGGGTTGGAGCGGGAGATTAAGCTGAACCCGGCCTTTGCCGGGCTCCCACGGGCTTTAGAAGGGGCCTTGTCGTTGCAAAATTACTATCACATCCGCGCACCGAATCCTTACCGGCGGCTTCTTAGTATGCAGTCCGGAAAGGCCCCGTTGGAGGCGATGTTTGAGAATATCAGCATCGACGCGGCGTTCGTGAGTATCGCGGAGGATATCCCGACGAATTTGTGGCGGCTGCAGTACGACCCGCTTTACGACCTCGTCGTTGGGCGGAATGCGCAATTTCCAGGCTCCGTTTTTTACCACGTTCCGGAGACTGGGAAGTATGGGAATATTTACATCGGCGACGGGACGATCAACCGCAACGTCGCCTTTATGATTTAAGATCATGGGATGGAGAAAGGAAGGCAAAAGCGAGAGAGAAAAGGGAGAGAGAGAGCGAGAGAGAGAGAGAGAGAGAGAGAGTAATGTTAGATGAAAATGATCTAGACGAAGGCTGCCGTTTGTTCACCCTTATTTGTCGACCGGTCACATCTGTGATGGAGGGTCGCTTGATGGGAGTCCAAAATACTTTGGAGGACCTGTCCTCTGGCGATTTATGTATAAAGAAGCTGAAATTCATGTACACCACTTTCCGTTGCAAAAGAGGGGTTTTCAATTTTCAGATCCACATTTTCCTGTGCTTGGGGCTTCTGGAGAGAGAAGAGAAAGAGGAGGGGAGGGGGTCTATCCCACGTATGGACATGTGTGTGGTGAAAATTTGCTGCTTTTTTTTTCTCTCTTGTTATCGTCACTCTTTTTATTGCTCCATTTCAACTGTTAGGATGCTAGAAAAGAGGGAAACAACCAATCAACCAACGACTCAGAAGTGTACATCGTTACCGAATCATTTTTTTTAGTGGGTTCCTCTTAGGCTAGCACGTAGTGCCATTGATTATCGCTATTCTTATTGGCTTTCATCCCCATTGTGCAGGGAGGCGGCTTCTACACCAAAGGAACGACAAAAAAATAAACGAAAGAAGAGGGGAAAGGAGGGAGTGGGGTAGGGCATGTTTCGTCGGGTAGTTTTCTTAGGGCTTCCCCCGTCCACCCGCGCCATCACCTCACGCGGGCAGTTCAACCCCATCCATGACTTTTCCGAATCCCTCGACGAGGCGCATCGGGCGCGCAATGAGGCGGAATTCACGCGGGTGATCACCAACCCAGGCCCCCTGCGCGTGGGGTACTCGCCCGATTATTTAGATTGGCTTTACCGCGCCTACCAATCCAAACTCCACTACTACGATGCGCGGGCGCGTTCGGGCGGCGAACGCGCCCCGGCGGCGTCGTCTTTTCTCCGCCCCCCGCACTCCCGTCGTCG